AAAGAAAGGGGAGACGAGAAAAAGTAGAGAAGGAAAAGATGATGAAATGACTTTTAAGTTAACAATTCTAAAATATTGACTGGAGCAATTTCCTAGGATGTTCTCTTAATAGGAAATTATATATATAATTTCAAAATCTTGTATGGGTCCATGATGAGACAGACTATTTTGGACTAAATATGTTCAGGAAGAACACAAGGGAGAGTTAAAACATGCATTAGAGAGAGGGAAAATTAAGACAAAAAAATCAGAGGTTTGAATATTGGTTATCTTAGCTATTGAGAATCTTTCATTTCTGCAGGATTCTAGGAATAACTGAATTTTTGAGAAAGGATTTGGTGTATAGAATGTGAAGATCATGCAATTTAAATGCTATTCTAAGTGAAAGACATAGTAATTTAAAAAAATATTGGGGGTGGAGAAATTATGAGTAAGCTGAACCAAATTAAAAGGATCTAGAAAGATCAAGTAGTTGTATTTTCAGTTTTATAGATCCATAATGCCTAGTTTCTTAGACCTTGCTTTGCTAAGTCTAGATAATCCTGAGTAATTATTTACTTATAAATATTAATCCAGAAATTTCCAGAACAAGTTGCTGAATTTTCTCAGAGGAGGAAATTGGTTAAGAAACTCTTAATGTCTGCCTTTTATATTGTTTCCATAATTTGGTATTCCTTTAGGCACCATTAAAAAAATCCCATAAGTAGCCATCAAACTTTTCCCTTCTAGCCCCATAAAAAGGGGAACTGCTTATTTAAATGTGCTAAAGGAAGAATTATATTTAATTATAAACAAATTCCCTCAACAAAAGTAACATTTGAGCAGTCTTCTGATTGGGTTAGAGTGGCATCTTTAGTTTTCTTATATGTGCAAAAATCTATGTTGTCTCAAAAGCAGAAGGGTCACAACGTAAGTCAGCTTTCCCACAGAGCTTCTATAGGTATCACACAAGCAGGAGGAATTACTGCACTCGATTCTCTTCAGATTTGTTCTCCATTTGGAATAGCAGTTACCATGGTTTTCACCCTGGGAAAGAATGGGGCCCTGGTTTTCATTTGTTGTAAGCATTTAACATGCAAATGCCATTACACATAATGGTGGGAATAATCCTATAAAATTTAATAGTCATCATAGGAAAAATGTTGGTAGGAAAAGTTCCCAAATGAAAACAGTATAACAAAACAATCACAGCCAATTTCTTGTCATCGCTGATACCTGTTCAGAGGAACCATTTATCTCAATTACGACTCATGACTTAAAGCTAAATTAAATAGATCCAAGGGCAATTATAAATTTAAATGCACGTGTTCACTGTCATCTCACTATGAATCGCTACTTCATTTTGGCTTTGCTGCTGACTTCAGTAATCAGCTCATTGGAAATCAACCCAAGATTCCTAGCAAGACCAGATTTCTCACCTGTCACACTTTGCCAAAGACAGCCAGAATCTGATTAGTCCAGTTTTCTTTTAGGACCATTTTTGTCTGTTAGACTAAGAGCATAATAGATTGTTCATAAGTTGCATCTTTTACAAGTAGGGAACTTTGATCCAAGATGGTTAAAGAAAAATTTTTTACAATATATTTTTATTGATTTCAGAGAGGAAGGAAGAGGAAGAGAGAGATAGAAACAATAATGATGAGAGAGAATCATTGATTGGCTGCTGCTCGAGCCCACAACTCAGGCCGACCAGGAATTGAACCGTGATCTCCTGGCTCGTAGGTCGAGGCTCAACCACTGAGCCACGCAGGCCGGGCAAAAATTTTTTTACAAATATATTTTATTGATTTTTTACAGAAAGGAAGGGAGAGGGATAGAGAGCTAGAAACATTGATGATAGAGAAACATCCATCAGCTGCCTCCTGCACACCCCCCACTGGGTATATGCCTGCAACCAAGGTACATGCCCTTGACCGGAATTGAACCTGGGACCCTTGAGTCCGCAGGCCAACCCTCTATCCACTGAGCCAAACTGGTCAGGGCAGAAATTTTTTTTAACTATAGTGGTAAGGGTTGTGAAAGTTGGGTTTCTCGCTTAGTACTTACTCACTGTGTAATTTAGAAATGATGCTTTATGGGGATGACATATCTGTGCTTGTCTCACTTGCACATGGTAAATGGGCCTGAGCCTAATGAATGTAAGGCATTGCAACATTTACCAACGTGAAAAGTCTAAAATGGAAAACAGTGAGCTTTAATGTGCAGGCAAATAGAAATACAAAGTTTCATTTTCAAATAGAGTCATGGCTCACATCATCTCATTTTCTTCCTTCGAGGAGGAAAACATTAACACGAGATGTAGTTGCCCTCCAATTCATTTGATCTAATTTTCAACTTCTGAAGAACCCGGCGCTGGTGCTCACTCTCACGAACCTTGTCTTACTTATAATGAAAAAGAAGGCAGCCCAGAGTATTCCAGTGTGTCTGAGTTTATTTTTTCTTCTTCTTCAGTTTCCAAAGACATTCTCTTATTTTGGAACATGCTTCTTATGCAGATTGTCGTATTCTGGGAAGTAGTAATGGGATACAGCTTCTAATATTACATTTGTCTATATTCAATAAACCAGTTCTGGAACATGAAATGGTGATTTTTTAAATAATGCTATTTGGGATCATAACATTCATTCAGTGGTTAGGCACTATCAGGAACTGTATCAGGCACTGTTCTAGACACTGAGGATATAGTGGTGAATAAGAGAGAGGAAGTTTATGCCCATTTCAAACTTACATTCTAGTGGAGAGATACAGGCAAAAAAACCTAGATTATTTTATTGAGATTCTGGTGACTTTTATGGAGAAAACAATCAGGGTAATGTGGTAAAGAAAGTGGGGGAGGGAGTAAGGTGGGTAAGAAAGACCTTCCTGAACAGATGGTATTTGATGAAGAAGGACAGGATGAGAAGAAGCCAGAAGCCAGGTATGAAGAGAGATGTGGAGAGGGTGTTCCTAGAAGAGGGAACAGCAAGATCAAAATCTAGAAGGCAGAAATGAGGTTGAGGTGTCTGAGGAAGACATCGATTGCCAGTGGGCTGGAGAGGCAGGATAAGAGAGCAGCATGGGGCAAGGGTGGATGATACAGGGGTCCAGAGGGGTCAGGCATACTCTAAATGCAGTGGGAAGTCTTGGACGGCTGTAAGCAAGAGAGTTACAAGATCTAGTTTACATTTTTAAGAGATTATTCAGGGTCCAGGGTAGAAATGAATTGTAGGGGGGGTTGAAAGGTGGGTGTGTGGACAGAGTAGAAGAGGTAAAACCAAGTAGGAGCCATCACAATACTGGGGATCTGCAAGGTCACTATCTTGCTGGTTCATGGTGGACATTATTAGAAAGAGTTGTAGTTACATAGGTTACAAAATTAAATGGGTAGGTTATAACTGTTAGATGAAGCACTGAGGGAAGCTGGAATAATCAGGGTTGGTAATCATTTGGCTGGAGAAGCAGACATGCAATGATAGCCAGTGTCTTTCTGAAATACTTAAAGCTTTCTTTGACAAAACAACATCATGCTAAACTTGCCCTCGCCATCTTTTAAGGACAAAAAGCCAGACTGAAAGCAAATGAAACTGGATGCAGTTTTGGCTGCCTACCATAATGAGAGCCAAACTCATGAGACAAGTGCTGGTGAGAAGGAAAGAAGTTAATTCAATTGCCAGCGATGTGAGAAGATAGAGGATTCCTGTCCTAATAACCACATTAACATCTCTTATAAAGCCAGATTGTTTTATAAGGGGGGGAGGGCAAGTGTGGATGTGCAGGGAAAGGGGTAGATGTGCAGTCAGTGTTCTGGTCAATTTCAACAAGGATCTTGGTGTCAGTTAATTTCTTGTGACCAGACTGCCCCAGGCCCAGGCAGGATCTAGAACAGTTGGTTCCTGCCATACACTTAAAAAAAAAAAGCTGTTGGCATGCTATAGGCATGACAAACCAAGCCTTTATTTTAAGGCATACATCCTGTTTCCTGATCTGGGGAGAAGCATTGCTCATTATGTGTTATTTAATCAAGAAGATTATATTATTGGTTAGTATAAGATTTCATACATCCTTTGTAGCACAAATGCATTTTTTTCTTGTGACTCTCAGAATTAACTGCATAAGCAAAAATGAAGTAGAGAATAGGGTGTTTTGGGTGAAAGTTGGTAGTGCTGACATATAGGGTGATTCAGAACAAAAAAAGCTTCCTCACTTCTAGGCAAACGAAATAGTTGTGTTCACTCTGGCCATTTCTGTAGGAATAGGCCACATAAATGTAAGTAAATCAGTTAAATCTATTTCCATTCTTCTAGCTGCCTCTCATCTCACCAAATGCACATTTCGGATACCCCAGAAAGGTTCACTTCCTGTGACTTCTTCTCTCCAAGAAGGATGGGTCTGGTGCAGCAGCTGGAAATATATTCCCTCTTTGGGAAGATTGTAGTGAGCCTGATGTTCAACCCAAGGCATCTGCAGTTATGGTGCCTGCAAACAGCATTCTCATAATCCAGTCTGGATACAGTTTTTATAATTGAAAAACAAAAACATCTGACAGATGCGGGAGGGTAATTTGAAAGCTGGATGGGACAAAGAAATCAAGTTCATTTTCTGTCAATATCAAATCTTTAAAAAGGTGCAAAGCTCGTTCTCACTTTATAGGCAAAGAAAGATAATATTAATATAGGAAGGTGATAGGAGTTTCCCAGTCTCTCCTGAACTTCTCCCAGATCTTTTGCAATCTCCTTACCCTTTAGCTTGTTAATTTCCAGAGAACTAGAATAATGCTGATTCAGTAAGTCTATTATTCCCAAAGGTTTGCAAACCACTGAACACATCTAATGTACAGCTTGCCCAATTTTAGTGAACAGCTAACTTCACAGGCGTTAATGAGGCCAATTATTGGCAAGTG